GCTCTGCTGATCCAGGCTCTCCAGCACACTTCTGCTTGCAAAATGCAGGCAGGGATGTGGTTTTGTCTCTGCGTGGAAGGGATCTGTAAATGATTTGAAGGTTCAGAGTTCAGGGGTGGTTTGGAAAAACACCCGTCGGGCTGCAATGCCCGCAGGGAAACCGTCTGCTTTGTTAGGGTGTCTCTGGGTATTTCTGGCATTTCACCTCCTGACTGAAGTCAGGAAAACTCAAAGAAAGAAAGAATATGGAAAAATACATCCAGACACTTCCGAACATGGAAACTAGTTTCCTAATGTTTAGTCAAAGGCAGAAGTCAGTTCTTGTTTCACCCAGCCTCTTTGAATTAGGAAACATTCAGTGCAGTTTCCTTTCAAATATTCGATAAGCTGCACGAATAGCTGCCCAAGAATCAGAACCATGACTAATTCTTGTTCATTAGATGTGCAACATAAGTAACTACTTGTTTCACTACTGATTAATTACAGTGAGATGCCTCCAGCTCTGTCACATGCATCCAGATCTGCTTCCACGCTGCCTCCTTCGAGTAAATCCATGTCATCATTCTGCAGACTTTTGCCACTGAGAGGAAACGGGAAAGGCTGGGTGCCAAGGGCATCTGGCTCTGCAGCTCTGGCTCCTGGGGATTTAAGAAGAGAAGGGGGTGGTTTAAGAAGAGCTCCAGGGGGGGAGATACAGCCACGAGTTCTGTTACTGGCATAATACCCCCTGTCTGAGGTACAATTCCCACATGGCTTTCCTAGGGCATCACATTGAAAATATTTCTGGGGAGCTCTGTAATTCGCCTCAGCAGTATACACAAACATTCCTTAATGCATGACTTTCATGCTGCCTGCCTGCTTCCAGGATTTTCACTGGGTCACTGCATTGGTGCTGATGCATTCCCTGGGGTTGCACACACACTGCCACGCAGCCAAAGGCAGGGGAAACCTTGCTATTTCAGGTCGAGTTGATTACAGTTTTTTTGACTGAAACATGCTTTTTCTTTTTTTTCAAAGAAAACACTGAGTCACAAAAACTTAAACTTACCTTTTAAATGGATTGATTTTGAGAGGAACGTTTCCCAGATGGGGTGGTCTTTCTGTATATAGCAAAAAAGGAATTCTTCCATGACTGGGGCATTTGTGTGTGGGTACCCTGTAGCCAGCAGAGTGCAGAGAGTTGTGAAATAAGTCACTGATCTTGAGAGGGAATCAAGCAGGGCAAGGGTTTGGACCTACTTTGCAGAGTAGTTTCTAAGTCTTTGGGTTGTGGTCTCAGTATACTCTGCCAATCCATTTTGTAGAGCTAATTATAAGTTCAATGGGTCAGGCAGAAAACATCCTAGGCCAGCATTTAGAGCAGCTGGGTGAGATATGAGCACTTACACTTCCAGCCAGGAACGACCTGTGCACAGGTGTGCAATGAGCCAGGGGGTGATGCTACTCTCTCTTCAACATGACATAGAGGCAAACTCAAAGGCCTCAACTTTTTCTTTGATGCAGCCTTCTTTGTTTCTTTCTACCCCAATGTAACACAGATGAATAGACTTAAAAATGGGGATATCTATTTATAATCTCATTTTTTCCCCACCTCCATCTCACCTGCTTTTAAATGCTCCTGTGCATTCCACAATTGCCTTGAAAGGACTAATTTTGTTTAATTTCAAAACTGAAACTGGTGAGAACCAAGGATGCCCTGAAAGTAATTGTATTAACAGAAAGTGGTGCTGTGAGGTCAAGGGAAAGTGCAGGACCTGAGTGCTCAAAATACCATCAGCTGTGTCATGAAAACAGATGTGCTCTGTAGCTCCTTTCTGTGTGTGGGGAACAGGCTCAAGATCAGGGTGTACTCTCAACAGCTCAGCAAAGGTTTTTCGTCCTGTTCTTCTACTTTCTACCTTTCCTTTCAGAAGGGAACCTAGTTGGTTTGTTGCTTTTTCCCCCCCTCATTCTCCCCACTTGGTTTTCTGGTCACTGGGGAAAACTCTCTGAAGTTAGTGTACAGAAATTCTGACTGGTTTAAAAAAAAACCCTAAACACCAAAAAGCCCAAACTGTCCTCATTTCCTCTATTTAAACCATATGTTGAATTACAACCAATTTAAGTAGGAGGAAAACAAAAACATATTTCACTGGGTTAAGGAAAGCTCTGAATGGATTGCATTTTTATTAAGGTTTTATGTGCCCTATCCAAACACCCAAAACATTGTGCTGTACATCAGATTTAAAGTGAGCTATTTTATTACATGTCCAGAGGTGACTGCATCAATGGCAGCGTGCACAGCTTGTAGTCCCTGCCTTAGGATTCAAGGCTCATGGTCTGAGGTGAGTTTTTGGGTGGTGGAGAACAATTGGTTAAGTTTCAAGATTCAGAATTAATATGGGCTATTTCTAGTGCATTTTAAAGCTGCACAGGATGAGCTCTTGAGATTCAGGTAGCAGCAATACAAAATGCTCCTCTGTTTTCTCATGCACTCAAAATTAATGTGAGTTTGCACCCTCGACTTCCTCTTGGGTTTGGAGCTGTCATTGTCCCCAAAAGGACTACTTGCAGATGTACCTGTCTTTGTTAATTAGGCTGGGGTTCAAGTTTGTTCTTGAATTTGATTTTAATTCAAATCTAACCTACATACTGCAATTTTGACTTTTCATAATAAAAAAATTACAGATAATGTAACACAGAACCAGGAAGAAAAGGTCTAGTTTGCAGGAAAAAAAAGTTTCCTGATGCCAGAGAAGTGAGGGATCTGACAGACTAACTTGTGGTGTTCATTCTTGCTCAGCTACAGTGAAGATAAATTAAGGATAAATTACTCAGCGAACAAAAGTCTTGTTTTCTCTGTGACTCCACCTCTTTTGGGCATCCTGCCCTGTCCCCACCCCTTGCACTTGCCTGCATTTCTTAATGGCAGTATTCATGCAGCTGGTAATTTATGTGTTTGAGAGAAGATTTACACAGAGCCTTCCCTTCAGTTATTCAGAAAATTTGAGATTCAAGAATGTATGTGATTTGTCAGGTCCCAAACTTCAGCTTAAAAATCGTTAACATCTTAAGGGCTGGACTTGAATGAGAGAAATTTTAAACGGAATAATTTCAACTAGAAGTTAGTTCTTAGGTCCTCAGTTTAGACCTAGTTACAAAAGTTTGTCTTCAAAATAAATACAATGCCTATTGTAACATAAGCACAGTCATTTGGCTGTGGGGCAGTTTGGTGCTCTGCTCTGGGAGACAGGCGGAGCTGATCCTGTTACTGAAATCTCCTCGATTCTCTTGGTGTCTGGTATCATAAACACGAATTGTTAATTTCATATTGCTCATAACAGGCACACTGTGAATGTTTGCAGAGTTTATAGGGGATCAGTTACAAATGTGATTATACCAGCCATTCCTCAGGACTGACACCAGTTTCAAATTAGAAGCTGACAGGCCTCACCTGCTCCTGAGTTCACTGACAGGTCACCTTCTTGTCATTTTAGCTATCCCCCCATCAAAATGACACCTGTGTTCATAAAGGGACAGCGAGGGACTAGAAGTTGTTAGAATTGTTGCAGAATAAGAATAAAATGTCATCTACTCCAATAATGTAGTGCTCAACTTTGGCCTTTCAGACAGCTTGATGCTTGCAGCCCCTGACAATGTTTCCAGCTACAAGAATAGCTGGATCCAAGGGTCAGCAGTTGTTCCCTCTTCTCCCCATAGATGTGAGGCATTCAGCTCAGCCCAGGCCACAGGGCACAGACAACCCCGGAGAGAAGCAAAGAGCTTGTAAAGTGCCTTTGCTTTTGTTCATGCAGGATAATACATGTAGATAAACAAACATTCCTTACAGAGGCTTGCATTACTCATCCATATTTTTAAACACACAATGTGTGAAAAACAGAAGGTAAATATTGTTAAATAAGTGGATAAAAAAATGAAACATTTTTCAATTTGTTGAAACTTATTTCTTCATAATAGGGTATTTTTCACATTCACTCAGTTTAATGGAATAGTGCTAGCTAGGTCAGTCCAAGTCATGTACCTTTAAATTTCTCAAAACCAGGAAAATAGACTGCATCTTCAAATACAGACTTTGGGATTTCCTCTTTAATTAAAAAAATAGAAATATCAGATCTCAACAGTGTCAGTTTTGCTGGTTAAATATTGGGGCTGTCTTTGATTTCCAGTGTAGTAAATAATTGTACCAGCTATGGGACAGTTGTACAGCTGTCTTCTTAAGGCTTGGCTTTTGCAGGAAGTGAAGGAAATGTAGGTGTATATAATCCTACTGAAATTGCCTGGCACATTGTGTGCAGAGAAGGTTTCTGAGTTGTGGGATATTACAAGCTCTCGTAAGGCTGCTGGGAAAAGAGCACAAACAGACTTGTTAAGAGAGAGGGTAGGTAGGGATAAACAAGATGTTGAATTACCCTTTGCCAAATGAAGGGCTCAGGGCAGCCAAGGCAAATCTTTTTGTTTTCCTCTCCCTCAACTGCACCTTTATTTTTGGCCTTTTATTTGTGGCTAACAGAGCTGTAAGGACATTCAGTTATCACAGTTGCCATCATTCTCTGAAATCTGTTCTTGGCTTTATTTGCTGGTCCAAGAAATATAATAGTATTGGCATTTTATCTGTATTAATTAAACATAAGACCTGATTCCTCATGGTGTAAAAAAGCATGACTTCAGGAGAGCAGTGCTGATTCAGGCCACCTGAGTATCTGACTCTTAATATAACAAGGACCACGCTACAAGAAAGTGAACAGAAGAAAACATTTGTTATAGAAACTCATGTCACCAACACAGACTCCCCCCCCCCCCAGCATTCAGCAGGGAAAAAAAATTATAGCTAAGGTAGATTTACAGAAGCCACCACTTTTCTTTTAATGATTTGGATATTGATCATTTTTAATCTTCTTCTCAGAACAACCAGGAGATCTATTACAGCTTGAGCCAGCCATGAAAAGCGGGTCCGTTCTTTAACCTGCCCCAATTCACTTGGACATATTTTATATCTCCAGGGATTCAGCCACGAAGTCCATTAGAGCATCAGATGCAGTGAGGTCAAATCAATTGTCCATACTGCAGACAAGGTAACCATCATTTACTGTAATTCTCCCCCGTCATGGTAGAGGAGAGGAAAGGTTAAAAGCTGTATTACCATGAGGCTGTCTCATCTATCTTTCAGTATATTGGTAATACCTAAACATTGCTTAAAGAACTGAATGTCCAATCTTAAATCTGGGCGAAACTGGATTTAATGGTTAGATTGCCAAATCAACAAATTTGCTAATGATTTTTTTTCAGGTAGGAGCAGACAAAAGGAGGACCTTTAAAACAAAATGCAAAACCCTTTAAATATATTGTCACATCTGACGCAACACATCCAGCGCTATAATGGAGCGTTCATCTCAGGATGCCCTGAATGACTGATATTTATCCTTCCCCATATGTAGATATATTTACCTATGAAGTAATTTGCTGTCATCCCTTTAAGCTGGAGGTGCTACGGCAGACCAAAAAACAAAAGAGGAAGTAAATTCGGGATGTGTATTTTGCACTGTAAATCAAGTCCTTATGTGTTTGCACTCCAGGATGGGCAATAATAATTGACTGAAGCAATCACTGCTGTGGGAAAACAAACGTGCTGGCCGTGTCGCTCTGAAGGTCAGGCCTGATGACACAGTAAGCACCTGAACTCTCACTGACTCCCGGGGAGCCGCGGGTGCCCAGCGCCTCCCGGAGCTCTCTGACAGCGGCAGATTTACGCGGCCGCTGGGGCTGGGATGAGGATGCTGCTTCCCACTCCCGCCTCCCGCTGCCGCCTCTGCGGAGCCCTTTATTTCCATTACGGTGCCGTGGCACCTCTGACTCCTGCGCTCCGCGCCGAAATCGCACGGAAGCGGAGAGAAAAATGCGGTTCTGTGCCAGACTGCGTGTTCCTCCTCCTCGGAGCCACTGGCCCCGACTAATGTCACAGGGCTGCTGTGCACGCTGGGGACCCGTGCCCACCCCTGACCTGGCCGTGAGAGCTCCAGCACCGCGGCCCGGCCCTTGTAGGAATCCTCTGCTGAAGTGGGAAGGGACAATGAAGCTCAGATTTATTTACTTGTCTATTTGTCTTTTCTAGGTTAATCTTTTCTCTTTCCCTGGATTTCTTTAATCTTGAGGGGTTTTTTTTAAGTGATTGAATGAAGGAGTTACTAAAATTTTCCATATTTCAGAAATCTTTCACAGCTGTAGAAATGAGTAAATTTATTTCTGTGTTTCAGAAGCTGACTTGCTGAGCAAACATACCCATGTATGTATACTGGTATATCAAATGTATTTCTGTGGCCAACACACATTCATTATATTCTTCGAGGGAGAAAATGTGATGAATGCAGTAGGAGCGTATGAGTTGGTGTAGGTTGCAAATTCTTAGATATTTTTATTATGAAGCCTATTTTTAAGATCTTAGTAAAGTTTTAAAGCCCTACACAGTAAATTCTAACTTCAGATAATGTGGGTATTCAGTAACTGTGAAAAGAAACTAGCAAAAGTTTTGTGTGTGCTGAAGAAAAGATAAATGTGCTTTAGATTAGGTGTTACATACCATTCACTTAACTACTTTTCCTCTTCTGCGTCTTCTTTTTATGGTTTACCTTAATGCAGAGTCTATGCGGGTCCTTTTCCTTAGTTTATGTTACACTATCACCTCTGAATTCATCCCTCTGAATGTCGCTTCCCAGATGCTCTGCTAATGCTCACGAAAGTGCAGATTGGAGTTGTCATTCAATAGAAGTAATGCCACTCTTTAAAAAAATGAACCACTAAATCAGGTAATGTTTTGTTCATTTTAGTGTAGAAACTCGGAAATAAATCACGGGAATTTAAATCCAAGAAGAAATAAATTGATCCAAGTCTGGAAAGAAATGAAAGATTGGAAAGTTGCTCAAAATTGGGGCTGCATGCAGCTTGCATGGTCTGTTGGGTTCCCTGTTCTGGAGCAGTCTCAGATAACTCTCAGCTGAGTAGTCCCCTCTCTGCTGGCACGTGTTCTGCAATGCTAATTCAGAGAAAGGTCCACTGGGTTATTTAACTGAAACCAGAGTCTCAAAAAGATCAGACAGCTTTGCTGTTCTTTGGCTTCAATGGATATCACAGCACTGAACTTAACAGAAAGGCTTTGGATCTGGAAAAATGCTTACTGAAATCGATGAGAGAAAGAGCTTTAACTCCAACAGTTAACACTTCATCCTGCCCCTTTTCTCAGAAGATACAAACATTGACTCTGCAACGCCCAGTCATGTTTCTCAGATCAATATGACAAACTAAGGGATGTGTATTTACTATCTGCTCTGTTGTCATCACACATCAGATCTGACTTTTAAAAAGTAACTCTTTGATTTTTACAAGAATTCTACCCTGTGCAGCAAACAAGTGTGTTTTAAAGGAAATCTGTTTAACTAGGGAAATCACTAAGGAATTCCTCAAGAGTTATATATAGCTCTTAGTTGACAGACTTCCTTAAAGAACTCCTTTTTCTACGTCTACAGTAATTAAATTAAAAGTTGTCTTTTGAGTATTTGATGTTGGCATGTTGCATTTAGTTTAATTTTCTCCAAATGCTAAAGAGGTTATGACAGTTACAGGGAAGTAGTCAGGTCTTGTGAACACGAGAGAGGGTCAGAGTCTCTGAATTTTCCACAAGGTAATATGGTCAAGAGAGCTTCCTGGTACTCCTAGTCACTCTGTGGGGGTGTAGGAATTGCCTGCTTGTCACATCTGTAGTGGAGCCTGAAGTGGAGCCAGTGGAATGTCAGCTGCAGAGGGACAGAGAACATCAGTGTGGAGCTCTGGGGATCAAATTCTCCTTTAAGTAACCAAAAAAGATGGCTCTGATTACAAAAAAACTGGTGACATTAGGCAGAACTACTCTGGAAGCAAGCAGAAGAGGAGTGTGTGAGCCAGTGTCACCCTGGTGCAGCCTGGCTGTGGCACAGCACGGCTGCTTCATGTCTGAGATGAAGAAGGGACACTCTAGCAGGAGCTTACAATACAATATTTTCTTATGGGAAGTAACTACTTCTGTTAAAATGGAAATAGTTATTAATGAATAGCATCTTACATCTGCATAAAAATGTCTCCTACAGGGCTATAGGCCATCAGAGAAAACTGTACAGCCCTTTCTCCTCTCCTTCCCCCTTTTTTAATAGGGTGAAAATTAGTAAGTGTAGATTGCCTGGCCTGGCATTTCCTGGCATGTACAGATAAAGCAAAACTAACCTGAAAAACTTTGGAGTTTCTCTTCACATAAGCATACATTTTTCTGCCATGTGCTGAATCCCCTCTTACTCTTTTCAGTTTACAATACATGATTGTCCAATATGTCACTGTGAAGTCTCATTTATAACAGCTTATCCATTAGTATTTTCTATCTGAATCTCTCGACTTAGGTGCTCTCTGATGTCCAAACTGAAGAATCACAGAAGGAACCTGGGGCCCTCATGCTTTCATTAGGTTATTTAAACTTTCTGGGCCTGAAATTACAGAATAAAAATATGAACAATTCAAACTGGATATACAGTTTTAATTTCTGCAGATTTCCTGATGTTCACAACTTGAAAAAGGCCCTGGTGTTTGTGACCAGCTGGAAAACAACCAGCTTAAAACAGAACATACATACATACAAAGCAAACCAAAGTGACTAATTAAGCCTTTTGGTATTTGCTTTGGAATTGGATATTTTGGGCTGAAATTTGTTGTAAATGTTTTTCAAAAGCTGAGGGAAAGGCACAGCAACCAGTAAAGGAAGTTCTTGCTTTACACAGATCCATCTGCCTTGCCTACAGATGTTATTAACTGCCTTAAATGATGATTATTTGTCCAAACCAGCAAAACAATGTGAAAATGTATTGAAATGAAACATTGCCCTGAAAGAGCTCCTGTTTTTTCACAAGTTCATTTTTAACCAATTTGCCAGATCAATTCAAGGACAAAATTTACCAGGATTATAAGAAACAAAAAAAAGCACTAGAAATATTTCCATCAATTAGAAGAAAAAACCTATACAATATTGTCCTGATTTCCAACCCTGAGTTTAGCATTACTGCTAGCTGAGTGGAAATCTGAATGAGAAGTTGGCTTCTAGAAAAGTGAATTTAACTAATTTATTTTCATTACTGAAGCTGAGGAAAATGCAAGCTGTGTGAAAAAGTTATATTATTGGAACAGGAAACATTTATGTACCAAAAAAAAGGTAAAACATAGGAAAACCCAAGGAAATTAGATAGTTTTTAAATACATTTTTTAACCATGCAAGATATCCCTTTCAGCACAGCATGGGATACAGCATTAATCTTATTTGTCTGCAATTTAAAAACCTACTCCCTCATAGTCAGGACTTTGCTACATTACCTCATTTTACCCACAGAAGCCAAACTGCTGATTTTTTGGAGACAGTAAGCCATAAATTCTTTTCTATGACAATTAGTTCATTACTAATCTAGACCATGTCTCCAATGAACTAACGAAGAACTTTAATATTGAAAAGCACCTCATAAATCATTTACAATAAGCCAGAAGAAATATTGAGCATTTGTAAATATGAGTTCTCTTTGCAGGATTTGTCTCTTTTAGTTTTTCTTCCTGAACACTCGCTATAATTATCTTTAAATCTCCATGAAAGAAACCAAAGAAATGGGAAATCGGGTTTGTAGTAATATTAGTCATCTTACTAATGGATATCCTATAGCTTGTCCTTTTTTCCACTTTCTCTTACCTCGTCCTTTCATAACTCACCCAGACAGACTCTTAAATACCCTTTGATTGGAGCCAATGGGTCTTACAAATGTAATTTATGCAGGAGTTGATGATTTAAATGGAAAAACCCCAAAGTCTTGTGCTTTTAAAAAATGTAAATCTGTCTGGGTCTCATTAAGGAAGGTTCTTGACTACAGGAGAAACTCTCATCTTCTTATTTATTTATTTATTTGAAAGTCATACATTTATTTATAAGATTTAGATAGTCTTTAAAAAAAAAACAAAAACCAACCAACCAAGAAAACCTCAAAGTTTGGAATCATGGTTTTATCTGTTGGTTTTTGTCCAGCAGCCTCAACCAAAACCTTGCCAGAGGTGACATGCAGGATGCTGTCAGCAGGGAGATGGCATGATGACCTCTCTGTCAAGACAGAGCAATAGTGCAAATAGTGCACAACACAGGAATTCCAGCGACCATTGCATTTATCTTAACCCTGACTCTGAGAAAGTTCTACAAATCTTAAAAAAAAAACAACCCCAAGCACCAATGGTTAAAAAGGGGAGCTACATATAAATCCTTGTTACTTTTCTGGTACTGTATGGAAATTAAAACATGACAACTTTGCCTCAGCCATAAAATTAAAGAAATCCTAGGAGAATGAAGGGTGAAAGCAGCCTGCCTCTATTTGTGAGCAGCTGAGGTTGGCTGATGGCAAACAGCTCATGTTAATTTGTGGTTAAAGCCCTCCTGATGCAGGTTGACAAGTTATTTATTAGTGGGGTTATAACTTGAGGAGAGATAAGGTTTCTCTGAACTCCCAGCATAAATATCTGCAGTTATTCTATGAAAGTCTTAAGTATGAACTTGCATTGGTGGCTAAGTTTCATTTTTCCAAAAGGGATTGCCAGTGTCTCTGTGAAAGGCTCTATAGGAGATACAGGCTTATTTAAACTTTCATAATTTTGTGAACTCCACCAGTGTCTATTCCTTTTCTTTCAAATTTGGGATAAGGATATCCGATAATCTGGTTTTCTTTTTGCTTTATCCTGCTCTGTCTTGCAAAGATTATGCTGGTGTGCTTCAGGTGCTCCTATTGATATTTCAGATCTCCCAAGACAGACTGCACCAGATAGTGGTGGACATACCTGACACCTCCTCTGGAAGGAGACAGATTTTCTTTTAAGGAATTTTACTGTTTTAATGGAGACAAGTACTGGGAAACTTCTTTAACCTGAAGGTTCTAAAAAGATTCAGGCCAGATTCTACGTGCTTCCCCTTCTTGCTGTGTTCAGTGTACTATAACTGCATGAGAAATGGTCAAAAACAATGCCTGGTTCACTTATAGTAACTTAAAACTTAGCTCACCAGTTCTGATTCACATACCTGCTAGCTTGGAAATAAA